GTTGTTAGAGAAACTCAAAGTAAGATGCCCCAATGTGGACACGTGCACTATGGAGATGCCGCGAGGCGACCTGGAAGATCATCTCAAGTACAGGTGAGTTTATTGACCTGACCTCGCTTAGTTGGTACACCTGACCGCATGGGGGGGGGTGTTGGCATGCGTGGCTAGCATGTTTGTATGGGTAGTGTTGATACGCCTGGCTGGCGTGTGTGTGTGTGTGTGGGGGGGGGGTGTTGGTACACCTTGCTGGCGTGTGTGTATGGGTGGTGTTGGTACGCCTGGCATGTTGAGCGTCTGTTGGCCAGCCTGGTGTGGCGGGAAACGACGGAAAGTTATGTATTATAATAAAGGTTTGAAAACAATTGAACACTACCAGCTTCACTGTTTCAGCTATCATAGTGCCAGGATTAACTTCAAACAAGTTCTTATCACCTTCAAAGAGCCTTTTAATATCGAGCACATAATAGTGTGAGGAGACCGCATTGTTTGATAACACTACTTTCTATAGCAGTTTAAGTATGTTTATTGAGACAAGAAAGAAATACATCTCAAAGGATATTGCTTTGAGGCGTATTTCTACGTAGCTTAGGATATTTCTACTCTCCAACTATAGCAGTTATCTTGTGCAGGCGATGAGTCACAATAACGTGGCTAAAGTATGATGACCAGACCACACACTAGAAGGTGAAGGGACGACGACGTTTCGGTCCGTCCTAGACCATTCTCAAGTCGATCTCGCAGTTATCTTATACTGTCGAAGTAAGGAAGACTTAAATATTCATGTATAAGCTGATTAGAATTGTATTTCACCTTCGCAAACGCACATTAATCACATTGTGTTGAGCACTCAATAACCAACTGTATATGTAAGAGAACAGATCTCTAATTCTGTCCATGGAGAACAGAAGAAAATGAATACATGCTGGTTAGTGTTCTAAATGTAGATCTCACAGCCATGCTAATACTATTTAAATCACTGGTGCTGTCACGTTATGAGTACTGCTCAGTACTCACTACCTCCCCTTCAGAGCAGGAGAGTTCTGAAATAGAAGGAATACAGAGAACCGATAAAACATTTCAATTATTGGCACCGTCTATAAGCTCTACAAATGTACTCTCTGGAAAGGAGACGAGAGAGGTACAGAAGAATATATACAAGGAAGATACTGGAAGGCCAGGCCCCAAATTTGCAGAGTAGAATAAATACTGGAAAAGATACGGAAGGAAATGCAGAATGGAGTCAGTGAGGAGTAGCGGTGCTATAGGCACAGAGAAGTGTCGGAACGTCTGAGGTCCACAGCTGTTTAAATAACCTCCCAGCAAGCATTAGAAATATTGACGGAACAAAGGTGGATGTCTTCAAGAAGCACTTAGATAAGTTCTTGCAAGAAGTGCCAGCTCAACCTGGTTGTAATGTATATGCGGGCCGCTCCAAGCAACAGCCTCTTGGACCAAGGTATTACTAGTCGAGCCTGAACCCAGGCCAGGCTTGGACTTGGAATGGGACGGGGGGAAGCAATGGTATCCACAACCACTTGGACGGTCGGGGATTGAACGCCGACCTGCATGAAGCGAGACCGGGGCTCTACCGTCCAGCCAATTTAAAAAAGAAAAAATGGAAACATCTTCAGGTACGCTTGGTGGAATATGACCGTAAGGTGATAGTGGTAGGGTAGTGTAGTGTAGTTAGTGTGTGTGTGTGTGTGTGTGTGTGTGTGTGTGTGTGTGTGTGTGTGTGTGTGTGTGTGTGTGTGTTGTGTGTGTGTGTGAGTGAGAGAAATAATGTGTGGATAATTTGCTCTACTGTCTCCAGGAGAGTGGATCCACCCAACACCGCACAGTAACTTGTGTGTAAGAAAGTTCATTTATGTAAAACTGACTTAAACCATCTGTTGCCTTCTGACCTCACCCCCCCCCCCCGCCCCGAGCACACCCCCCCCCCCCCCCCGAGCACCACCCCACCCCACCACCACGAGCACCACCCCACCCCACCACCACGAGCACCACCCCACCCCACCACCCACCTGCGTGGCGTCAGTAAGGCTCCTGACCGCTCACCACCACCTGCGTGGCGTCAGTAAGGCTCCTGACCGCTCACCACCACCTGCGTGGCGTCAGCAAGGCTCCTGACCGCTCACCACCACCTGCGTGGCGTCAGTAAGGCTCCTGACCGCTCACCACCACCTGCGTGGCGTCAGTAAGGCTCCTGACCGCTCACCACCACCTGCGTGGCGTCAGTAAGGCTCCTGACCGCTCACCACCACCTGCGTGGCGTCAGTAAGGCTCCTGACCGCTCACCACCACCTGCGTGGCGTCAGTAAGGCTCCTGACCGCTCACCAGACCAACATACTCGCCTGTCGGTCGCAAATCGATATGCATAAAAGATCAGACATTCCTGCATTTGTTCACTTTTGCTCTCCCCCCAACCCCCTTTTTTCCCCCCGATGTTTCAATATCCCCTCTTCCATCTTTTCCGCCTTCTTTTCTTCCCCCCCTTTTTATCCCGTCCTCACTCTCCTTCCCCCCCCCCCCTCTTCCTCTCCCCTCCAACTTTTTCCATCCTTTTCTTCTTCTTCTTCCCCCTCTCTCTTCCCACCTATCGTCTCCTTTCTCTCCTCCCACCTATCGTCTCCTCTCTCTCTCCTCCCCTCTTTCTTCTTCCCCCTCTCTCTTCCCACCTATCGTCTCCTCTCTCTCCTCCCCTCTTTCTTCTCCCCCTCTCTCTCCGCTCCTCCGCCCCTCTCCCTCTCTCCGCCACTCCCCCCTTTCTCTCTCTCCTCCACTCCCCCTCTCTCTCTCCTCCACTACCCCCTCTCCTCTTCAGTCAAATATCAGAGAGGGGCTGGAGACGGCAGGTACACACGAACCATGCAGAGGTTTACATTTTTGGGGACCAGGAGTCAATAGCTGGGGTAAGAGAGCCCCGCATCAGCCACGACGGGATGGAGGGATTGGAGGGCGAGTAGAGGTATGGGGGATTAATGTGGGGGAGAAGAGAGGGGAAGACTCATGGAGTATGAGTCAAGAAGAAACACACAAATAATACTAACATACAAACATGTATACTAAACATTCTCTCTCTCTCTATCTCTCTCTCACTCACTCACTCACTCACTCACTCACATATCTAACATTGATTTCCAAACATTTTCCGCTCTTACCTGTATAGATCGTCACACATTTATGCTCTTCAACGCGTCTAACTCCTTGTGACTGTCAGTCACCTCAAACTACAAAGAGCATAGAGAGCTCTATATTTAATTATAATTGGGTACTAAAATCTAACTTCTCTTGGAATACTTAATTATGTCTTTGAAAAAAATTAGTAACCCCATTGCTTTAATAATTAAACTGATACGCAAATATCTAATGAAGTCACTAGCTGGCTACAAAGCTGGAATGTGAACTAAGGTTTGTGTGTACAAACATTAAGACGATTGTCTTCAATCGTCAAGATGTTCTAAATGTCGTACCAAACAAACATTGTTTATACTGTAAACTTTTTATATAGTTTGTTTTGAAGTGTAAACAACACGTGAAGTGCATTTCTAAAGATACAGCTGGATCCATTACCCAACAATAATTATAGTTCATACAGGATTGCATTAATACAATAAGGATTGGATTACTAATGAATGCATTAATACAATAAGGATTGGATTACTAATGAGTGCATTAATACAATAAGGATTGCATTATTGCAAACCTGTATGATAAGCCGGAAGATGCTGTCTGCTCACCACACAGTAATAACTTTAGAGCCGACCAAGATAGCCACCCAGGCGGTAAATATATTAAGTTGATAAACGAGTTGAACAGTATTGTGGTCAATGAAAACGGTATGGGATCTTCAGCACATCAGAGTAAACCTCTTCCTTACTCCGCCCTCACTTGATCCTGGAAATTACATCTGCAACTTTTGACGGCATTATGAACATGCTATTCTCAAGTTTTGAACTTCCCCGCATATATAGTTAGGGAGCTGAATTGAGTTTACAACTTGCCGTGGAGCTGGCAACTTGATTGTCGCAGTTATAGTAAAAGAAATTATATATATATATTATATATTATATATATATATTTATATATATATATATATATATTATATATATATATATATATATATATATATATATATATATATATATATATATATATATATATAAATATATATATATATATATATATATATATAAATATATATATATATATTATATATATATAATATATATATATATATATATATATATATATATATATATATATATATATATATATATATATAATATATATATATATATATATATATATAATATATATATTAATATATATATATTATATATATATTATATATATATATAATATATATATATATATATATATATATATATATATATATATATATATATATATATATATATATATATATATATAATATATATAATATATATATATATATATATATATATATATATATATATATAATATATATATATATATATATATATATATATATATATATATATAATATATATATATATATATATATATATATATATATATATATATATATATATATATAATATTATAAAGACACATACATATACATACAGTATATATAATTTCAAATCAATTCACTATAGAGGAAAACGCGAGCCTTAAATGTACGACAAGCTTGCATAAACCACCAGTTTATGTAACCGAAACACACTTCCTCGTGAAAGGACTCGAACCTTAGATAACCAGGCGTGCCAAAAGCACTGGCATATCGAGTACCGTGACCAATACACCATGACTGACTGTGCACAAGTGTACATGACTGACTGAATACAGTACTCGATATTTGCACGCAGGTTATCTAAGGTTCGAGTCCTTTCACGAGGAAGTGTGTTTCGGTTACAGTGCTTGTACTTTTAAAGCTCGCATTTAACTCTATAGTGAATTGATTTTGGCACGCAGGTTATCTGGACGCAGGTTCGAGTCCTTTCACGAGGAAGTGTGTTTCGGTTACATAAAGTCTACTACATATATTTCTCTTACACGCAGTGTACTCACCTAATTGTACTCACCTAATTGTGCTTGCGGGGGTTGAGCTCTGGCTCTTTGGTCCCGCCTCTCAACCGTCAATCAACTGGTGTACAGATTCCTGAGCCTATTTGGCTCTATCATATCTACATTTGAAACTGTGTATGGAGTCAGCCTCCACCACATCACTTCCTAATGCATTCCATTTACTAACTACTCTGACACTGAAAAAGTTCTTTCTAACGTCTCTGTGGCTCATTTGGGTACTCAGCTTCCACCTGTGTCCCCTTGTTCGCGTCCCACCAGTGTTGAATAGTTCATCCTTGTTTACCCGGTCGATTCCCCTGAGGATTTTGTAGGTTGTGATCATGTCCCCCCTTACTCTTCTGTCTTCCAGTGTCGTGAGGTGCATTTCCCGCAGCCTTTCCTCATAACTCATGCCTCTTAGTTCTGGGACTAGTCTAGTAGCATACCTTTGGACTTTTTCCAGCTTCGTCTTGTGCTTGACAAGGTACGGGCTCCATGCTGGGGCCGCATACTCCAGGATTGGTCTTACATATGTGGTGTACAAGATTCTGAATGATTCCTTACACAGGTTCCTGAACGCCGTTCTGATGTTAGCCAGCCTCGCATATGCCGCAGACGTTATTCTCTTTATGTGGGCTTCAGGAGACAGGTTTGGTGTGATATCAACTCCTAGATCTTTCTCTCTGTCTGTTTCATTAAGTACTTCATCTCCTATTCTGTATCCTGTGCCTGGCCTCCTGTTTCCACTTCCTAGTTTCATTACTTTGCATTTACTCGGGTTGAACTTCAACAGCCATTTGTTGGACCATTCACTCAGTCTATCCAGGTCATCTTGTAGCCTCCTACTATCATCCTCTGTTTCAATCCTCCTCATAATTTTTGCATCGTCGGCAAACATTGAGAGGAACGAATCTATACCCTCTGGGAGATCATTTACATATACCAGAAACAGTATAGGTCCAAGGACTGACCCCTGCGGGACTCCACTTGTGACGTCTCGCCAATCTGAGACCTCACCCCTCACACAGACTCGTTGTCTCCTGTTGCTTAGGTATTCCTCTATCCACCGGAGTACCTTCCCTCTCACTCCAGCCTGCATCTCCAACTTTCGCACTAGCCTCTTGTGTGGCACTGTATCAAAGGCTTTCTGACAATCCAAAAATATGCAGTCTGCCCACCCTTCTCTTTCTTGCCTTATTTTGTTGCCTGGTCGTAGAATTCAAGTAACCCTGTGAGGCAGGACCTGCCATCCCTGAACCCATGTTGATGCTGTGTTACAAAGTTCCTTCGCTCCAGATGCTCCACTAGTTTTTTCGCACAATCTTCTCCATCAGCTTGCATGGTATGCAGGTTAGGGACACTGGCCTGTAGTTCAGTGCCTCCTGTCTATCCCCTTTCTTGTATATCGGGACTACGTTAGCTGCTTTCCAAATATCTGGCAGTTCCCTGTTGCCAGTGATTTGTTATACACTATGGAGAGTGGTAGGCTCCAGTTCTCTTGCTCCTTCCTTTAGAAAACAAGGGGAGATTCCATCTGGGCCTATAGCCTTTGTCACGTCCAAACTCTAGTAAACACTTCCTTACTTCCCCACTGGTAATCTCAAACTCTTCCAGTGGTTCCTGGTTAGTTATTCCCTCACCTACCTCTGGAATTTCTCCTTGTTCTAAGGTGAAGACCTCCTGGAATTTCTTATTCAATTCCTCAACACCTTCCTTGTCATTTGTAGTGAATCCTTCCGCCCCTATCCTTAATCTCATAACCTGTTCCTTTACTGTGTTTTTTCTCCTAATGTGGCTATGCAACAATTTAGGCTGAGTCTTTGCCTTGCTTGCGATGTCATTTTCGTATTGTCTTTCTGCCTCTCTTCTCATCCTGACATATTCATTCCTGGCATTTCTGGTATCTTTCTCTGCTCTCCAGTGTCCTGTTATTCCTATAGTTTCTCCATGCCCTTTTACTTTGCTGCTTAGCTAGCCTACATCTTTGATTAAACCATGGGTTTCTCATCTTCATTTCTCTGTTTTCCTTTTGGACTGGGACAAACTTGTTCGCTGCGTCCCTTGCACTCTGCGTGATGTAATCCATCATATCAATTGGGCCGTCTTTCCCCTGAGCTCTGTTTCCCATGCTATAATCTGTTAGGAATTTCTTATCCCTTCATAGTTCCCCTTCGGTATGCTAACCTTTGGTTTTCGGTATCCCTCCTCGAGTTCAATAACCCTTCTTCAATCAAGTACTCTCACACCCAGTACACTGTGGTCGCTCATTCCTACTGGGTCCTCAAAACCGATTTCTCTTATGTCGGAGTCGTTCAGAGTGAAGACTAGGACGAGTCGCGCTGGTTCGTCATTGCCTCTCATCCTTGTGGGTTCTCCGACATGCTGGTTTAAAAATTGCTTGTCACCACCTCCAATAGTTTGGCTCTCCACGTATCCTCGCCTCCATGCGGTTCCTTGTTCTCCCAGTCAATCTTTCCCGTGATTGAAGTCGCCCATGATGAGCAGGTGGGATCTATTTCTACAAAGCAGCAGAGGCTGCCCTCTCAGCCTCACACACACCAAAAGTGTGTGTGTGTGTGTGTGTGTGGTTTGTGTGAGAAAGAGTGAATGAAAAGACGTGTTAACTGTGGTATAACAGTAGCCAATGATGGTTAGTGTGTTTTGTGTTGTGTGTGGTGTGTGTGTGTGTATGTGTGTGTGTGGTGTGTGTGTGTGTGTGTGGTGTGTGTGTGGTGTGTGTGTGTGTGTGTGTGTGGTGTGTGTGTGAAAGAGTGAATGAAAAAAAGACGTGTTAACTGTGGTATAACAGTAGCCAATGATGTTAGTGTGTGTGTGGTGTGTGTGTGTGTGTGTGTGTGTGGTGTGTGTGTTGTGTGTGTGTGTGGTGTGTGTGTGGTGTGTGTGTGTGTGGAGATCAGTGTTGCCACTAACTTGTCGTTCCTGCTGCCTGGTGTTGCAGGTGCCCAGGAAATTGGGTGTCGTGTCCTCACTCCACGTCTGGATGCGAGTACCGCGGTTCACAGCGCTCCATCACCACCCACCTCACCACCTGCACCTTCAAGGACCATGGTAAGTCGCCCTTCAACCCCCTCCCACTACGGTAAGTCGCCCTTCAACCCCCTCCCACTACGGTAAGTCACCCTTCAACCCCCTCCCACTACGGTAAGTCACCCTTCAACCCCCTCCCACCACGGTAAGTCACCTTCAACCCCCCTCCCCTACGGTAAGTCACCCTTCAACCCCCTCCCACTACGGTAAGTCACCCTTCAACCCCCTCCCACCACGGTAAGTCACCCTTCAACCCCCTCCCACTACGGTAAGTCGCCCTTCAAACCCCCTCCCACCACGGTAAGTCACCCTTCAACCCCCTCCCACTACGGTAAGTCGCCCTTCAACCCCCTCCCACTACGTAAGTCGCCCCTTCAACCCCCTTCCACCACGGTAAGTCACCCTTCAACCCCCTCCCACTACGGTAAGTCGCCCTTCAACCCCCTCCCACCACGGTAAGTCACCCTTCAACCCCCTCCCACTACGGTAAGTCACCCTGTAAGTCACGCTGGCACCCGTACAAAGTTCGGGTGCGGTAAGTTGTCCTACAGACCAGTACCGCCACCCATGACTCCCCCAGCCAGCGAGGGGTGCCAACACAAAGGGTTCTGGTACCTCTGAATGTAACCTGATAGTGAGATGTCGGAGAGGTTGGCTATACTGGTCCTTGAAGCACGGCGCTAATGCCACAAGTGAGGAGGAACACTGCGTGAAGAGTGAAGCGGAGGAATGCATGACTCGAGTTAATACATAAAAGGGTGCAACAATGCCAAAAAATAATGGAGGGGGGGGGGGTTAATTACTGTATATAGACACAAAATTCAAATTGAGTTTTAGATTTATTTAAGTTGCCGAGTTACATAATTGATACGAAGGTGCTGGATTGTTTGAACTGTTAGTTATATATATCTTAAGTTGGGGTGGTTGGGTGACCGACTCGCTTGGGCTCCTTCGACAGTATCGACTTATTTTCCGAGCCACGACGTCCACCTCAGGCCGAGTCACCTCCCATAATACCCTCACCCTTCCTGTGTGTGTGTGGGGGGGGGGGTTTGTACTCACCTAGTTGGGTTGGGGGTTATTGTGATGGCAGAGGCTTAGTACGTGGAGCTGCGGGTGTTGAACCCCCCCCCCCACTTGTGTAGTGTCGTTACTTGAGAGACAGAGAGAAGTCGTGAAAGCCACCTCCCATCTGCATTTTTAAGGCCAGATTCGATCAAGAATTCGAACGTCAGAATAGTTAAATTATAACGCGACCGGTAGAACAAGTCTAGTAGGGAGGGGAAGCATAAGGAACTAGACCACACTTCCCCGTAGTCAGATAAGTTACCTTACTTTACCCACTGGCACCCCTCACTTTACCCACTAACACCCTTCACTTTATCCACTGGCAACCCTCACTTTATCCACTGGCAACCCTCACTTTATCCACTGGCAACCCTCACTTTATCCACTGGCAACCCTCACTTTATCCACTGGCAACCCTCACTTTATCCACTGGCAACCCTCATTAGCAATTTCAACAAATTCCAATAGTACAGTTATCGGTTGCTTCACGCAAGACCAGCTTGGCCAGCAGCGCCGTAGCTTCACGCAAGACCAGCTTGGCCAGCAGCGCCTTAGCTTCACGCAAGACCAGCTTGGCCAGCAGCGCCTTAGCTTCACGCAAGACCAGCCTGGCCAGCAGCGCCTTAGCTTCACGCAAGACCAGCCTGGCCAGCAGCGCCTTAGCTTCACGCAAGACCAGCTTGGCCAGCAGCGCCTTAGCTTCACGCAAGACCAGCTTGGCCAGCAGCGCCTTAGCTTCACGCAAGACCAGCCTGGCCAGCAGCGCCTTAGCTTCACGCAAGACCAGCCTGGCCAGCAGCGCCTTAGCTTCACGCAAGACCAGCCTGGCCAGCAGCGCCTTAGCTTCACGCAAGACCAGCCTGGCCAGCAGCGCCGTAGCTTCACGCAAGACCAGCTTGGCCAGCAGCGCCGTAGCTTCACGCAAGACCAGCTTGGCCAGCAGGGCCGTAGCTTCACGCAAGACCAGCCTGGCCAGCAGCGCCGTAGCTTCACGCAAGACCAGCTTGGCCAGCAGCGCCGTAGCCAAGCCTCGTCCCCGGCGTGACAGGGTGACTGGCAGCGACCAAAATATCTCCTGTGTTCTCCACATAAATGCTGGCGTCCGGAGTGCCTTGGTAATGAACGTGTGTTTACCCGTGCACCGCCTCACGCCTTCTCCAGCGGCTTGTTGACCTTATCCTAATGTATTTAGCCTGTAATCCAGCTCTCTCTCCCGTTGTTTATCCTGGCTTGTTTACCTTTCCGGTGATTGTTTGTGGATGGCTGTCGTCATCGGTTATTTCCCTCGGGAGTGTGCTGTTGCTTGGGGCTATTTTCGTGTTAATTATCAGTGGTTTACACCAGTCTGTTCTTGGGTTATATTCCACGAATAACTGCTCCTTGTAGCCCAGGACTCCCCACCCCCCCCCACACACACTTCCTGCAGCCCCCAGTAGTTTAGTACTCTTAAATTGATTTAACTAAATCATTACAGGAATTACATAAATCATTACATGATAACCACCTTCAAAATTCTCAGGGGAATTGACAGGGTGGACAAAGACAAACTCTTTAGCACGGGTGGAACACGAACAGACACAGGTGGAAACTTGGTACCCAAATGAGCCACATAGACATTAGAAATAATTCTTTCAGTGTCAGAGTAGTTAACAGATGGACTGCATTAGGCAGTGAAGTGGTGGAGGCAGAATCCATACACGGTTTCAAATGTAGATATGATAGATCCCAATAGGCTCAAGAATCTGTACACCAGTTGACTGACGGTTAAAGGGCGAGACCAAAGAGCCTCAGCTCAATCCCCGCAAGTATAACTAGGTGAGTACACCCCCCCCCCCTCAACACCTCATCATCCCCATTCTACCCTATTCACGTTACCCCATTCTCACCCACTGGCATACCATCTCCCCCCCTCCCTGGCCAGCCATCAAACACCAGTGGGTCAACATGGCACCAAAGCCTGTGTTTACCTTTGATATCTCTACAGTGTGCGCCTCTTATGGGATCCCGCAAGCCTAGAGCATCAGCAGCCTCCCCCACCCCCCCATCCACCACCACCACACACACATTCAACTAGTATTCAACTAGGTGAATACACACACACACACACACACACACACACACACACAGGTGGGCCTCGTAGCCTGGTGGATAGCGCGCAGGATTCGTAATTCTGTGGCGCGGGTTCGATTCCCGCACGAGGCAGAAACAAATGGGCAAAGTTTCTTTCACCCTGAATGCCCCTGTTACCTAGCAGTAAATAGGTACCTGGGAGTTAGTCAGCTGTCACGGGCTGCTTCCTGGGGTGTGTGTGTGGTGTGGGAAAAAAAAATAGTTAGTAAACAGTTGATTGACAGTTGAGAGGCGGGCCGAAAGAGCAAAGCTCAACCCCCGTAAAAAACACAACTAGTAAACACACACACACACACACACACACACACACACACACACACACACACACACATACCCGCTTTCCTTGTCCTCCTCCTCCTCAAAAACACCGACAAAGGGACCCACAATTTAGTGGTTAACGTCTTGACTCGCACTCTAAGAGAATTTCTAATTCCCGGCCGATACAGAAATAATTGGGCAGAGTTCACACGATGCCTTTGTTCACCTAGCAGTAAATAAATACCTGAGCGTTGGTCAGCTGTTGAAGGCTGCGTCCTGCAGGTGTGTTTGTACGTGTAATTTTAAAAGTAGAAGGATAAGGATGTACGAAAACCAAATAATAAAAGGTGAAAAACGTGGTAAAAACTACTTGTGTATCTCCCCCTTCTCTAGCATCAAAGAAAACGTGCATAGTACCAAATTATTGAAATACTGTTTGGATTACCGCAGACTTTTACCAACAACCCATCCTGTAACAAGTTTGAAGTTGAATTAGATCTAGGTATCCCCATCTCTGCTGTCAAAACTGTATTGGTCCAAACATTCAGGTCTGATAGGAAAGAACTTACTGACTCCCAACGACCTGAAAGTACTAGTATAAAAAGCTATGATTTGTTCAGATCTGAAACCTACATCTATGGACAGCACAAAACGTCCACTAGACTGTGCGACACAGTGGTTGCAAAGATCAGGTTGGGTTACCGTTACCTGTGGCAGGTGGCTGCAGGTGACGGGTCTCCCAATCCTGAGCACTCCAGTTGCAAACTCTGTGAGCAGGAACTACGGCATGATCTCCCGCACTACATCACTGAATGCCCAGTTATTAGACCTTTCAGACCAGTTGGCATGAGGTACCTGGAGCTTTGCAATTACTTTATTCACTCTCGTATTCTTGAAGATATCCTCACAGTATACCCAAAATTTGCCAGTGCAGGCTATTAAACACATGGCTCTGTATGACTAACCATCCTGCGAGATGGGGACTTGTATTACCACTGCTACCTTATTCAATCTTGTGTTGTTGATATCCTCAAAATGCATCCGGAGTCTGCCAGTGCAGACCGCTTATCACATGCCTCTGGTATGACTAACCATCCTGTGTGATGGGGATTTTATAGCATCACCTAGTTAGCTTTTTTGACACACTGTACTCCACTTCATATAGTCTAGGGTAGCTGCACTAATGCAGATGTACCTCATAACTTAATAAAAAAAAAAAAAAAAACTGGAATGACAGTATTTGTAGTAACAATGGGGTGCCAATTATGGTAAATTATGGGTGCTTTAGATGAAACCCAAACAGATGGCTATCTTGTGGAAACATGAAATTACATCGTCCTGTCATAACACTAGACAAAAAGAAAATGACATTCATCCATAAGTTGGCATATAAAGAGTGGCAATTTTTGACAAATTTTCCTTCACAAGATGTGTGAAAAATGTTGCAGTCAAATGTAAACAATCGTGTTTACAAAGACGTTTACAAAACACCTGTGTAAACCCCCTTTACCTGTGTAAACCCTCGTTACCTGTGTAACTCCACCTGTGTTATCCACCCTTCCCAC